GTGTTCACAGGACGCTCCAAAAGATATGAAGTTTCCTCCATGGCGGAAAACGCTTGACTATTTCATTTTATAACCTGACCATGACGTGGTTCTTGGTTCCTGTATGGATTGTCATTATTTCGAAAGGTGTGGGACAAAGGGACTTTGGCAGAAGATAGCCGGTTTTGCTTCAAATTCTATATTTTTTCATTCTGTAGTGTTCAAAATGTAGTAATAAGCCAAGTTTCATACTGGATAAAATGTGGATGATTTTCACTGCTCTTTATTCTGCGGTACCCATTTGGGGTTGTTTTCTTATGCCCAAAGAACACACTGAGTATCTCCTTTACTGCGAGTCTGCTGGGGTTGAATCTGCTCCGTCTGTCTGTCTGTCTGGAATGCTGTCTCGCCCTCATTTAAAGGATCCTTTTACTGCATCTGGGACTTTAGGCTGAGATTAATTTTCCATCGGCATTTTAAGGATGTCGTTTCCTTGCTTTTTGTCTTCCAAAAACCAGCTGTCAGTCTGATTTTGCTCCTTTGAAGTTGATCTGTCTTTTACTTTCTGACTGCTGTGAAGATTTTTTTCTCTTTTCCTCTGGAACTCCTATTAGGTACGCATTAGACTGTCCGACCCTCTGATTCAGGGGGAGCGTCACTTTCTAACCTCCTGGCTTTATTTTTCTACACAGCATTTCTAGTTTGTCTGTCTGTCAGTCTGTCTTCCCTGCTGGAATGTCACTGTCCTGGGGATGATTTTTTTTTTTAAAAGATTTTATTTTTTTTCCTGTTTCTCCCCAAAGCCCCCCAGTACATAGTTGTATATTCTTCGTTGTGGGTTCTTCTAGTTGTGGCATGTGGGACGCTGCCTCAGCGTGGTTTGATGAGCAGTGCCATGTCCGCGCCCAGGATTCGAACCAACGAAACACTGGGCCGCCTGCAGCAGAGCGCGAAAACTTAACCACTCGGCCATGGGGCCAGCCCCCCTGGGGATGATTTTTGACCATTTCCTTCGCTGCTCTGCCCCTGGCACGTCATGAGCAATCAGCCCATATTTGTTGAATGATTAAATGGGTGCCTGGATTATGTTGACTGACTTCTTAGTGTTTGGATAAATTAAATGTGTTGGCAATGGGAGTATTATCCTTAAATGGTAAAATTCTCAGGAGCAATGTAATTAAGTTTGGTGTTCAGTTCTTTTGTGAAATAATTCCTTAAAATGATGGTGGAAATGAAATGAAACTTGACTAATATACAAATATATTTAAAACAACTTCCAAGAAAACTAAAACAAGTGTTTTTTTTTTTGGAAGATTGGCCCTGAGCTAACATCTGTGCCTATCTTCTATTTTATATGTGGGACGCTGCCTCAGCATGGCTTGATAAGCAGTGTGCAGGTCGGCACCCAGGATCCAAACCAGCAAACCACAGGCTGCTGAAGCGGAGCATGAGAACTTAACCACTATGCCACCGGGCCAGCCCCTAACAAGGTTTTTCCATAACTTTAAATTTCTCGTAAGCCATGTACCATCTAATTTGCCTAGGGAGATCAGGGCTAATCTGTGGAAATGTAGTATTAAATAGTTCTTAGTTGAATCTAACTTTTTTGATCTCCATGCAAAGATATTAAGATTACTTTTGGATTATTCTAGCAAGACTTATAATAATTTTGTTTTCTACCAAAAATTCCTTCAAGGGCACTGGAGGATAAATTCCTACCTCTAATGACTGCAGGATAAAGGAGCCTGCTCAGATATTTTTTTGAAGCTCATGTGTTTTATCCTAGACATTTATGAACAGTTTATAGGTGACTCTGTAATTTACCTGTGTTTATTTTAATATAAAAATAATATTGAAGATTACTTACCATCTGCATCAAAGAAAATCTTTGCTACTGCCCCACTGGCTTATTTTTCAAGATACTATTAATGAGCACCAATTTCAGAAATTTCTCCTGAATTAAAGAGACTTAACACTCCATATCAGATTCTATAGCTTAGTCTGACGGTATTTTGGAAATTCAAACTCACACAAAAATGGATATAGATGGCAACAGATGTTCTTGCCCATTATACCCACTATTGTTCCCTCAAGAGAGGTGTCTGGGATGTCACAAGTATTAGGTACAACTCACAGGCTACTGTTGACGGACATTTCCACAGGTATCCAACTTCTTTTTGGTAAATGCAGTTGCTTATGAAACATGGAAATCTGAAAAGTCTTCTGATGCACCAGCTAGTCATTTCTGCTGTTTCAGGAAAATACGCACTGTGGAGAAAGACAGCTCATCTCTTCTCTCTTTATCCTGATCTTGTAATTTTCATCACACAAACATGAACCAAGAGTCATAAATAACTCACAGTTCCAACTTTCAATTCCTTCGTCCATCTCAGATTTCATGTTGCTTGCCAGCAACATGCCATTGTTGTAAAACGGCCTTGGGCTGTAAAACTAACCATAAGTTTTCTCTTCAGCGTGGACCAGGAATGTTCAACATTGAACATGTATCTGTAAAACACGCCATTAACATGAGCAAAGTATTTATCCCTTGTTGTGATTCTTTTTCCTGATGAAGAAAAATAAAAACAGAGCCTTGAGGTTGAAAGCTCAGACAAACCATGTGGTCAGCCTGGGAGAGCAAGCTTTCAAAGTCACTTTCTAATTATCTTCTTGTTTTTCTGAAAAGATGAGTATTCAGGGCATAGATATTTATTCTCGTTCTCACCATTTTTTCACCGTATTGAATATGCTGAGAAAGACCAAAGGCAGCTTCCTTTAGGGGAGCTCTTCTCAGTCGAGGATGCGACTCTCCTGGAGGATTCGGGATGCACGGCAGCTGTGATGAGGACTTCTAGTCCTCAGGCTTCCCTGGCTTGTAGGCTGGCCTGTGCAGAACGTTTCAAGTGTATCTTTGGAGAACATTAACATGCGTCCCATGACTGTGTCAGTAACGGCGCCTGGTCCGGCTCGGCTGCGCTTCCTAACTCAGCACTGATTTAGCCGTATCTCACGGCAGGATTCTGCTAACACGTGGGTTCATCTTCCCAGGCAATTCTGCAAACTGACCTCGAGGGGATCTTCAAGCAAACTTCACGTACTTGTTTGAGTGCTTTTTACTATTGTCCTTATTAAGATCTCTCTCTTTAATGTTGCAGAAAATCCTTATGATGTACTTTCAAGATTTGCAGGATTGGCTTTTAACTGTCCATGAAGAGCCATGCAGTTACTTCATGCAGGCGAGACGCCAGGCTTTAGGGTTGTTTGCCTCTCTACAATAATAAACTCCGTATTTTAAATAAGCATCTAGGTACAGACTGACACCTTTAGTGAGACTGCCCTCATCCTGAGTGTAGATCTGACTTGGCTGGGGCATTCATGTGGAGGCTCAGGCCCATTGCCATTATGTTACACCACTCCATGACTGCAGTGGCTCTGAATTTATTGAATTGGGTGTGCTTTTTAATTCACTGCTTTCACACCTATAATTCAAAATTCCTGTTTTTCTCTGTTTACATGTTCTCAGTCAGATGAGTAATTTGAAAAGAGCATTGGTAGGAGAAGGGATGCCCCGGGAGTAATGTGCCAGTGCCCAGAGGATGGAGCATCGGAGGGAGAAGTGATGCCCAGGGAGTAACGTGCCAGAGCCCAGAGGATGGAGCATCGGAGGGAGAAGGGATGCCCAGGGAGTAATGTGCCAGCACCCAGAGGATGCAGCATCGGAGGGAGAAGAGATGCCCAGGAAGTAACATGCCGGAGCCCAGAGGATGGAGCATTGGAGGGAGAAGGGATGCCCAGGAAGTAATGTGTGGGCTCTCAGAGGAGTTTGTGAACCAGCCTGTGGCAGTGGCTTGGTGAGTTGCATCTTTCATTACCTTGTGCTGATGCTGAGGGAGCTTAAGTAAGTTCCTCATTAGCAGATTGACTTGGAAGAATGGGGACAACTACCAGAGTGAGGAGCATGGAAAAAGATGTCACTTGACAGTCATCAAAATAGATGAAAATTCTCTTAAATTCAACTTAGACAACCAAGAACTTCACTGAAGCTGGGATGTTCGCCCTCAGCAGAGCTGGCTCCCTGCCTCCTCAGCCGCCTGCCTAGCTTTGCAGGGCGGCCACAAGCAAGGCTTCCGAGAGTGCTCCCTCTCCAGCAGGGGAGACGGCTGAGGCCGTGGTGTTTTCCCACAGGCCCTGGACAAAGCTTACGGGATGTAATGAAAATCCACCTGCTCCCTCCCTTCACTTCCAGTCAGTTCCCAGGAACCTTCCGGGGTCCTCAACTTGAAAGGCCAGTGGTGACAGTAGGTGGGCATGACCTTTCCAAAACCCTGAGACTGAGGACTGGCTCCTTCCCATGTGCATCTGTATGTAGAACTCCACCCCCAAAGCACTCATGGCCGCTTGACCCTGATCCTGACAGCCAGCGTGTGCCGGGGGGTGGGGAGGGTGGCCGCGCTTCAGGGGACGGGGTGACTCTGAGGTTCAAGAGATTGGACGCTTGCTTAGGGACACAGTGGCAGGAAGCTCAGAGCAGTGGGGAGTTGCACCCCGGCCCACAGCTCACTGAGTCACTGACATGTGCTTCCAGAACGTGCTGGAACCCAGGCCCGCAGAGAGCACAGGGCCCCTTGGCAGCCCTGGGCCCTCCGTCCACCCTTCTCACTGCTTATCCCCCAGCTGGCAGCCCTCACAAAGGCCCCCAATGTGTGACGGGCACTAAGTCGTCCTGTTGGGCGAGTGATTGCTGGCCTTTATTCCTACGGGGTGCGAGGACCTTCAGTGAGTGACACTGTGCTGGGGGGAGGCACTGACCCATTACACAGTCACCCTGAAACGGTGCCCTTTCTAAATGCAGAGATGCGTGTCACCGTTTTTCTCTTTTTCAGTCCTTTGGATGGCTGTAATTGTACTCCCTAAGTCTTAAATAGCCATTGGCCAGAATGGGTAAACTCTGTCCCCAGTCGGCACCTCCAGGGCCGCTGGAGGGAGGGGTCTGTGTGTCTTTGAGGACCGAGTTTTCTTACCACTGAGGAGTGGCCGGTTGTGCCGGTACGAGGCTGGCAGCTGGCCGATGTCCTCGGTCCTGAGGCTCATCACCCGGGAGAGGTGGCCGGTGTGGTGCAGGCTGCCCACGATGAGACTGTGCAGGTACACGGGTTCGATGAAGTGGCAGAGGAGGGCGCCCTGCAGCCCCAGCACGTTCCACCTGGAGCGAGAGAGGAGGGTCAGCGCGACGGCTCACCGGGAGGGAGGGCGGAGCGGGCAGCGCCGGTGCCTCCGCGTGGGCTCCGCCTGGGCTGGTGCTGGGGCTTCTCCCTCCACCCCGGGTCCCGAGTGTCACTGTCCCCATCGTCCAGACAGACCGGGAGGGCTAGCGTGGGAGCTCCCGACCCCGTGGGGCCATCATGGCCTTGGCCTTGTGGCTGCTAAGGATTCTATGCTCCCGAGCTGCTGTTTGACAGGCTCTGCATTTTAATAAATGTGGCTTCCTTTTCTGGAAGATGAGTTGTTAGATGGAGTGGAAGCTGCATATTCTCTCAGGAACTTAGAATTAGTTAAAAAAAAAAAAACACTCTGTCCCCAAAGTAAATCTGAATTTTTCTTTTTATTAGCTGGGAAATATCAGAAATTGAATTTATTTCAGTTTGTGGAGAAATACCCTCTTCCCCTCCCTTCGTCCTCCGCAGTTAGAGTGACCCATCGTGTTGAAATTAAATGACATTAATAAATGACCTTGTTTTGCTCTTGGGATGATTTCGATTTTGGAAGCTCAGATCAGAGATGAAGGGCAAGACCGTTTCTTTGAAATAAATATAGCTCTGGGTGACTGTTTTTGCTTCTGCAAGAAAAGGTGACAGGAGCATTTTCAGAATTTTTCCCCCTAAATTTGAGTGGCACAAGGTTACATGTATTGGATATTTAAGGCAACATTTTGTGGTTTCCACTCTAACATGCTTAAAATTCACTCTCCACCAGCAGTGAACATTATGCAGCTAATTTCTTACATCATTGTTCTTTTCATTAATTAACATTTCTCCACTGTCAGAGCAATTACTGTGGTGCCTCCACGCTGTAAGTTTCTTTTCATGATTAATAAGGAGTCATTATATTTCCTTTTCCCGAAGCAGTCAATTAACATGGAATTCTTTCCATTAATTACTGAATGTTTAAAACCACCATGCCTACCTGGAGAGCAATCTGCTCCGAGAACCTGTGACACCAATTGCTTTAAAAAGTTCTCTTTAAATTTTATTCCAAAAACACAGGCAATTTAGCTGGCTATATTAATTTGCCTCAGAAGCATCGTGGTGAATGAGAAACATCTTTTAATCTCATGCAAGAAAAGGCAGCCATCTGGCGGGTGAAGATCGAGCGAGCGGCTCTCCCACTCTCCCTCCATAAACGCGGGTCATTAAAGTAATGGGCTCATCTACATAAAACTCAAATGGAAGATAAAAGGTAATATTTATATACAAACAGTTTAGTTCTACAATTTAAACAGTCATTGGTTTTATGAAACATTTACTTTAGTCTATCAGATTTGCATAACTTCACTTAAAAAAAATTGTGGTCATTTCTATAAGTCACGTCATTTCTCTCAGAAAGCGATGGAAGGGCTGTATATATATTTTATACATTTGGATATATGAAATTTTACCAAAGAATAAACGTCAAGAAGGCTTGAAGGAGCAGACATTTCTGAAAGGAACTTGAGTCCTCATGACAGATTCCAGGGGCCTAATAGTCTGGCGACGACGGTTTCTGCCTAGGAAGTTTTCATTCGACAGCATGGTCCGACAGGCCATCCGGGTTCCTGGGAGACTGTCTTTTCCTCACTTTTCACTGATGAGTTACAGAATCTCAAGAAAACCCAGGAGAGGAGAGTTTTAGTATCTGGGCTTTTCCTGGGAGGAACAACACTGATGTCTGCGAGGGGAGATTATGGGATTTGGCCCCCGCCTTAAATTGGAGACCAGAATTTCTGGGCAGTGCCAAGGACAGACCGAAAAGTGAGGAAAAATTCACCAGAGTCACCTTCACTTAGTATTTTGGGTAGCTCTTTTTTAGATTTGAAGAAGCTAGAAAGGTGTGCCAAGAAAAAAAAAGAACAAGTTTAACAATAAATTTATTTCACTATAAAAGTTGCCGGTATTTGTTTCTTAAGTGTATACTTTATTTTTGACCCAGATATAAGCTTCCTTATATTGGTATGTATTGATGAGAGCAGATTTTCTTGCAATGAAGGGTCTAGATTTACAGTTATGATGATAAATTACTGTTTTGGTGATGGATTCTGGGGTGCAGACAACCACCGTGGGTGTTTCATTATTTCTCAGATAGTCAGAGAAGTTTTAACATCTCTTATCAATTAAAAGCGGGGGAGTGGACATTTCCCCCATTGGTAACAAAACACTTTCTTGAAATAAGCCAAGTCTTGAACAATCAAAGGGGACATCACTGCACTTCAGGCCGTCCACGCATTGGCTTTGAACAAAACTTCTGGAACATATTTGAGTGGTTCTGATTCTGTGGAATTGTCTAAAGACAAATATCTTCTATATGTAGGTGCCTTCTAATAACCTGCACAATAAAGAGAAAATCAACCTTTTCCTTGCCTGGCTCTAGGAGTTTAAACTTATTCACCTAACGTGATCAATAAAACCAAATGTCTTCTTGAATATAAACTGCAGAATTTTCAGCATTCAGGATTGAATGGAAAAATACCTCTCCTTTTGTTCAAACAGCTGATATTACTGCAAAGTTGACAGAGGAAAAAAAAGCCCACGTCTAGTTTTCAATATAGGTAATCCCTAAATAAATATATTTTTGCCTGTTTGTCAATCACTGAAATACCAAAGATAAGTGAGGGAGAGATCTCAGAAAAAGGCTGCCTTTCTTTAACCAAGAGATGCAATCTCCTTGCTCAGTTCAAATCTTGGGCTCATAGAATCCGTGGCAACAGTCACAGGGACGGACCCTCCTCAGACAGTCACTACCCCTGTGCCTGGGACACGAGGCAGCGAGTGGCCACTGACGTTGATGTTTGAATAGTTGGTGATCCTGCCTAGTGTTTTCACCACTTTGACGTGGCCCAGAAGGGAGATGTAATAACTCTCTAAAATTACAGTGATGTCTGTGGGGCAGTCTTTAAGTACCAACAAAAATACATACTTAAGGCATAAAAATAGACACACAGACCAATGGAACAGAATAGAGAGCCCAGAAATAAACCCACGCATATATGTCCAATTAATTTATGACAAAGGAGCCAAGAATATACAATGAGGAAAGGACAGTCTCTTCAGCAAATGGTGCTGGGAAAACTGGACAAGCACATACAGAAGAATGACATTGCATCCCTGTCTCACACCGTACACACAAATCAACTCAAAATGTGGATTAAAGACTTGAATGTAAGACCCAAAACCATGAAACTCCTGGAAGAAAACATAGGGAAAAAGCTCTTCAACTTGAGTCTTTGTGATGATTTTTTGGATTTGACACCAAAAGCACAGGCAACAAGAGCAAAAATAAATAAGTGGGACTACATCAAACTAAAAAGCTTCTGAACAGCAAAGGAAACCATCAACAAAATGAAAATGCAACTCACGAAATGGGAGAAAATATTTGTAAATATATATCTGAGAAAGAGTTAATGTCCAAGATATATAAGGAACTCCTACAACTCAGTAGCAAAAACACAAACAATCCAATTAAAAAATGGGCAGAGGAACTGAATAGATATTTCTCCAAAGAAGACATCCAGATGGCCAACAGATACAAGAAAAAGTGCTCAACATCACTAATCATCAGGGAAATGCAAATCAAAACCACAATGAGATACCACCTCACACCTGTCAGAACGGCTATTATCAAAAAGACAAGAAATAACAAGCGTCGGCAAGGATGTGGAGAAAAAGGAACTCTCATGCACTGTTGGTGGGAATGTGAATTGATGCAGCCACTATGGAAAACAGTATGGAGGTTCCTCAAAAATAAAAAAAAACCCTATCATGTGATCCAGCAATTCCACTTCTGGGTATTTATCCAAAGGAAATGAAATCAGCGTCTCGAAGAGATATGTGTGCCCCCATGTTCACTGCAGCATTATTCGCAATAGCCGAGACATGGAAACAGCCTAAGTGTGTGTCAATGGATGAATGGATAAAGATGTGGTATACATACATAATGGACTGTTTAGTCATGAGAAAGAAGGAAATCCTGCCATTTGCAACAACATGGGTGGACCTTGACGGCATTATGCTCAGTGAAATAAGTCAGACAGAGAAAGACAAATACAGCATGATCTCACTTATATGTGGAATCTAAAAAAGTTGAACTCATAGAAAGAGAGAGTAGAATGGTGGTTGCCAGGGGCTTGGGTGTGGGTGAAATAGGGAGATGTTGGTCACAAGGGTATAAAGTTTCAGTTACAAGAACAGTAAGTTTGGGGATTTAATTACAGCATGGTGACTATAGTTAATAATACTGTATCATATACTTGAGAATTGCTAAGAGATTAGTTCTCAAATGTTCTCCCACACCACAATCATGTGGTGACATGATGGAGGTGTTAGCTGACTCTATGGTGGTCATAATATGACAACATGTAAGTGTATCAAGTCATCACAATGCACACCTTAAGCTTACACAGTATTAGATGTCAATTATATCTCAGTAAAACTGGAAAAAATACGTACTTACTTCACTCTCTTTTTCATTTGTGGGCAGATTTGCCCATTATCTGAAATTACAACCATATCCGACTGGGAAAATTCTCCAGGGCTACGCTCAAACCTGTGAATTCCAAATTGAGGAGCGAGAGGTGTGATAAGACCCAGTGTCCATAGTTCAGCAGGGACAACTCAGGCTTTGCCACCCAGCAGTGGTTTCCAACTTTGGTGCACACTGGGATCATCCGGGGGCCTTTCGGAATCTCCCGGTGCCGGCTCTTCCCAAAGACTCCCATAGACCTGGTGCAGGGTGCATCAGCTTTTCTGGTGCTCCCAGGGGATTCTAAGGTGAGCTGGGCTGAGAACTTCTGCAGCAAAGCAGCCGGCACAGATTGTGGAGTCAAAAAATCAAGTGAAATCAAAGTGTGGACACCAGTCAGCTGGGTAGCCTTGACCACGTTCCCCTGTTCTGAACAACAGTCCACGGTGGTGGCTCTCAAGCTCTGTGGTGGGACCGGCAGAGGGAGTTTCA